CAATATAAGCTATATCTGGCCGTATATGTGATAAGTATATCAACATTCCCACCAACTTTTGATATCGAGTTATATTTACTGGGTCGTCCCCCTCATCTCTCAGATTTTGATTGGGATCAATTAGTGTTTGTAGGCTTACAAACACTCAACCATATTTCCTTTAAAAGAACAAGAACATACTTCTGTTGGGAAACAACAACCACTTTTTTCGATCAAGCAACCTTCGTGCCAAGGAAATACCTAAGAGATCCTAAGTGTTTGGTCTAAAAAACTGATGAGAGGGAAGCCTTCAATCAATTTAGTTCATATATGTAATCTTCAGGAATTATATTGTCCACATACACAATCGGTATGGCTATCGTCCCATCCTTTAAATGTTTGAAAAACATTGATTGATCTTCTTGCCCTATCGTCCACATACACAATCGTTATGGTCATTTTCTCATCTTTTGAATGTTTGAAGATCATTGTATGATCTTCTTGCTCTTGAGCCTACCCCTGACCTTTAGTAAACATCTTTTTAATTCTCTCTCGGTGACTACTTCAACTCATAGAATGACTTTTTTAGTTTACACACCTTTGCGCCGCACTTCTCACTGAATTCGGGAAGTGCATCCATGTACACTTATTCCTCTAGGTCCCTATTTAGAAGTGCATTTTTTATATCCAACTGTAGTAAGAACCGGTCAAAATTAGCTGCAAGTGATAGAAGCACTCTTATAGATTTTAGTTTGGTTGTTGGGACAAATGTCTCTAAGTAATCAATGTTATGGGTCTAGGTGAATTCTTTCATAGCCAACTGATCTGTATATAGTTCTAGAAAGCTATCAAAATTATACTTGATTGTAAACACTCATTTGCATCCGACAGTTTTCTTCCCTATAGGTAGATTAACCAATTCACATGTGTCATTTTTTTCCAGAGCTTTCATCTCCTCCTAAAGAGCCTCCTTCAACTTAGAAACCTTCAGAATATCATCACAATATTAAGAATCTCCATACATGACAAATGTATGATAAAAGGCAGAAAAAAGGGTAAGAGATTTTTATATGGCATGTAATGAAAAAATTGATGTGGGGTGCAAGACTTCTCCCTCTTACAAACAACAATGAAATGACTAGAATCAATTGATTTAGAATTAAAGTTAGAATCAACTTCAAGACCAAAAAATTCGAGACTCAAAACTAAAGTTGACTGATCATGGGATAAAGCCTCAGTGAGCACATTACCTGAAAGATTCACAGATTCTGAGCAATGAAAAGAATTCTTAGAATACTTTTGAGTTGTTGTTGTCGCGAATCAACACTATCAAACCGTACCAATGTTGCAATTTTTTTTTCCTATTTTCTTTTTAATAGTTATAGAATTATGAACATTACTAGATTGCATTATGCGAAAATACGAATCGTCTTCAACATCTAAAAGATTCGACTTACTCTCTTCTGATACAATAGAGCTTAGATGTCAGGTTAAACAATCAAGGTTGGAGAAAGATTATTTTGTGAGTCTTCGATTTGAAGAAAATCATGAAAACCAGTAGTTGAATCTTTATTTTGTTCATCGACCCCTTGAAGAAAAAATGAAAAAAATGATTATAATTTAAAGAATGCGGCATTCATGGAAACAAATATTTTCTTAGAAATAAGATCAAAACATTTAGATCTCTTTTGGGTAGAAGCATAACCAACAAATACATATTTTATGGCTCGTGGTTCAAGTTTTCCTTGATTATAACAATTAATGTGAACAAATGAAGTACTCTCTAATATTTTTAGAGGTAAATTAGAAGAAAGTTGATTTGTTGGCTAATTTGTATTAAAAACAACAAAGGGTGATTTAAAGTACAATACTTTATTGGGTGGTCTATTAATGAGGAATGCAACAGTAAGAACGACTTCATCCCAAAGATATTTTGGCACTTGATTTTTAAATAACAATGTCTGAGTTACTTCCAATAAGTGTTTTTTTCTTTTAGTCACACCATTTTGTTGTGGGGTGTCGACACAAGAACTTTGAAGAACTATTCTTTTTTTCAGAAAAAAATTGATATATTTTTTTTAAACACTCTCGGTTATTATCACTCGGTAATATTTGAAAATATTTTTGAAATTATGTTTGTAGTACGGTGTAAAAATTTTTGAAATTTGTTACACTTCAAAATTTTCATTCATTAATACACACACCCAACTTAACATTGCATGATCATCGGTAAAGGTAAAAAACAATTTTTTCAAAGCATGTAAAATGTTCACAACTCCCAGATATCACTATAAATCAGAGTAAAATGTATAGTTGATTTGTACATTTGGGCAGCACAATGATGTTTGACAAACAGACGGACTTCATATTGAAAAGATAATATTTTTTTATTTTGAAATAAACTGAGAAACAAAAATTTTAAATACTGAAAACTGTAATGAAATAACCTATAATATCATAACATAATATCATTGTCTTTGAAAATAGAACTAAAATTTAAACAAGTACATTGACATTTTTTATTTGCATCAAGTCCATCGTCAAAATAATAGAGTTTATTCTTCTTTTAGCAATGTCAAACATCCTCCCAGTGGACAACTCCTAAAACTCAGAACAAGAAGAGTAGAAATTTGATGGTGATAATCAAAAGTAATTTTATTAATGGGCAATAGATTATAAGGCAAATTAGGAATATTGAGCACATCACGAAGAGTTAACAACGATCTGAGTTTGACATTTCCTATCCTGACAATTACCGAGAGGGATCCATGGACAATTTTGACCCTTTTATTGCTTGCACAAGATCTATAAGATAAGAATATTTTAAAACAAACTACTCATATGATCAGTTGTACCATAATCAATTATCCATGAATAAATAAAAGTAGGGTTAATGAGTAACAATGCAATGACTAGAGAGTTACCCTTCCACACTGAAGAGTAAGATGGAGTCCGTGACAATTTGGAGATTAAAACAATATGTGCAGATCCTCTAATTGCTCGTTGATGAAAGGTACTGCATTTGAGATGGACGAAGGCTTTTGAGTTCATCAGCAGTGGCTAGATAGGCCCAACCTTCACGCTTAAATTTTAGTTTTCAATTTGTGGGTTTATAATGAATCTTCCAACATGTCTCCTACACATGTCATATTTTTGCAATGCTAGCAATTCCATGAGTAGGGCGAAGTGGTTTGGGAATTACTAAAATCAGCAGAAATTGTACAAATTCTTTGAATGTCGATTATCACCAATTGTATGGTATTATCAGAATTGGAATGAGAAAACTCACGACCAACGACTTTCTGAGGGCTCCTAAGAAAAAAATACAAACACATTCGGGCTCGGGCTTCGATTGCGGGTCCGATGGAAGTTTAGTAGCGCATTCGATTGTAATAGAAAAACAGAACCTCAAGGAGCTCCTGCTTCAACCACACCTTCAAAGTGTCTTCTAACGATAATAAACAAGCCACGAGCAGCATATTTGGTAGGCTACCATTTTGCAAGCATCATCATGACCATGTGCTCTTCATAGGGAGTTCAAGATCATGATATTGAACATGCATGAAAAAAACAGTGAATTTGAATGTGAGCAACGCCTACAAAAAAGAAACAGCTATGAGTAGAAGCTACGACTTCCTCGAAGGAGACAAGGGCTTTGCGAGTAGCGGTTTAGATAACTTCGAAGAAGAAGACAATGGTCGTCGTTGCGAAGGATACACATAAACAGCTGCTTCGATCTTGAGCTCCTTCATGTGGAAAAACTAGATGATGCTTCCCAGGTGCACAATCGGAGGAAAGACAAGGGATGCCTCAGATCTATGAATGTCACAATCCAATCATTAAGACTATCAAAAAAACTCATTGTTTGCGAACAGCTCGTGTTCGGCCCGTTCGTTAAGTAAACGAGTCAAACGTAAACAATTTTTTTAAGTTTGAATTATAAATGAGTCGAACATGAACAACCCTTTTTTAAGCTCGGATTATATATATTTATATTTAATTTTAAATCATAATAGCTCGTGTGGGTGGTTCTGCACCTTCAATTGCAAACAATTGGTGCAAGGTCGAATCCAACACCTTGCATCTATTTTTTCCAATTAATTGTAACGAGCCAATTTTAAGTCGAACACAAGCCAAACACGAACAAGAATATTTAAATCGAGTCAAACACGAGAACACTACTCATAAGCCAATTTCGAACACGAGCTGATTTCGAACACGACCGACTTGGAACGAGTCAACCCTCAGTTGCTCAAGCTCGGTCGTTTACAACCCTACGAATCGATGCCTTCCCACCTAGCTCTAATCATGATTGTATCACAACGGTCTTTGGACGTCGCGATCTGACCGTTTCCGTCCTAGCAAGCTCTAATAACGACGGTCTCGCGAGGAGTTTCTAAACGACACGAGCTATAATCAAGGCTATATCGAAAATGGGCCATGAAGAAGATGGTATTGGGCAAACTCGGGAGGGCAGGAGTCATGTAACAAGTCCTGCATAAACGATCTCAACGGGATTAGGTCACATTTTCGAAGAAGGACATGGGCTCTAATACCATGTAATTTTTGGGAGAGGAAATATAATTATTTCTCTACAATTTCCTAAGACTCGGTCACAAGATAAATAGCAAGGGAAGGCCACCACATTAGGAAAGCCATAAAATCCACAACTAGAAAAAAAAATAAAAATTACCAAAAATAGCTAATCCAAAAATTAAAAACTACTAAAAATGAAAGATACCAAAAAAGGGAACATTCCTAAAATTCTGATAGTTACTTCCCAAAAAAAAATTTCCCTGTCTGTTTATATTCAGCATTTTATTTTCCAAAAAAGCAATGGAATACAATTCAGCCATAAATTCTGCCATTATCTTATATCCTCACATAATAATTTTCAAGATAAATCAACTATAATGCACAGCCTAGCATAATACAAGCTTGCAATTATAGTACTTTAGCCTCAAATTAGACATAGAACTTAGTTTCCAAATGTGCTATCCAGCAGCAACCTAGTTACTTACCATAATTGAATTGAGTAAACCAGGGCGTTCTTCCATGCTTTCTCCAAGCCCCAAACCTCCAATGTAAAAACCTACATATTTTATCATACCAAAAAAAAAACAGACAAGGGCATGAAATTGTAAATTATCAATCACATTTATATCACAAAAAAAAAAACGGCATTCGCTGTAATTTCTCAAATGTGTTAACATTCAAATGCATTACAATTATAATAATAAATAGGGGCATTTGCATAGATAACGCTCAATTCATATGTATTTACATATCCAACACCTAAACTTTACTCTTACATTTATTCCACCCAAATGTTTCATATCTCATAAAAAGTACTACTATTTTAACTTTTAAAAAGTGAAATACACTTTTTCATGTATAGGTAGGGTGAAATATATATATATATATATATATAAACTAGCCACACAAAGAGAAAAAAAAGTAACGATTTAACTCAAGTAAAGTGTATTAAAGATGAAAATCAAAAAGTATTTTTCTTAGAAAAAGATATTCAATATAGGTAGGTGAGTTATTTTGATATACTTTTTAATGAAGTTTTTGAAAATACGATTGACTTTAGTGATTATATATATATATATATATATATATATATATATATAACGATGGGAGCTCTGCTAGGGTTAGGCATCGCGGGGATTTCGAGGCGATTTCCGGCGAGAATGGGTTTTCTTCTTCAAATCGTTGGTGAGATCTCTCCATCTTCCTCTCCAACTATTAGATTTGCGGTTTTGATTTGCTGTCGAGAGGTTTTGCCTTTTTTCGGCCTCCTATCCTGTTTCAAAGCTTTTGGATTTGGGGTTTTTCTGATTTTTGTTGGTTTTTGCTGTCGACACTTGAAGATCTGGTGTTGAAAAGCATTTTGGTGGGGTTTTTCTCTGGATTCTCGATTTTATTGATTGGCCGCTGGTTTTTGTTTTGTTTTCGGTCTACTGTAAGGTCGATTGGATTTTCGAGATGGAGAAGTCTTTTGCGGAGGCCCTCATGGGGGATCAATCTTCCAAGATCAATAATTCGGGGCTATTTCCTCAGTCGTTTCATGAAGTTCTTAGTGAGGGAGGTGATAGCAATTTTATTAAGAAAACTGGAGAAAACAATGGGAAATTAGCGATGTTTATATCTGATGATAAAAATAATGTTCTGGCCTCTTCAACTCGTCATGTTCTTGTTGGGAAGTTCGCTTTTGGGCACCCCAAATGGGATTCTATTCGTAGGGAATTTGATGCTCTGAATTTAACGGGAGTTTGGAAATTTGGTTGGCTAAATGGGAGTCACATTTTAATTCAATTATCTAATGACGAAGATTATACAAAGTTATTCTCTCAAAGATTTATTAAAATTGATAACACCACGATGAGAATTCTGAAGTGGACAATGGATTTTGATCCCAAAGCGGAACCTCCTGTGATTCCGGTTTGGTTGAGTTTTCTAGGATTAAAATTTCATCTTTTTAATCACGAAATTTTTTTCTCTCTTGTTGTGGCATATGGAAAATCTCTAAAGATGGATGGGCCCACTTTTCTTTTGAAAAGGCCTTCTGAAGCTCGTATTTTGGTTGAAGAAGATATAACTTTGTCTTTCTGTGATGAAATCTGGATAGGTACGGAGCATAAGAGTTACTGCAAAAGGTGGAATTGGAAAAACATTCCCCCTACTGTTCACATTGTTGTATGTTTGGTTATATTGCTACTGGATGTTACCGTCTTCACCCTCATATAAAAAAAGGAAATGCTCGTCAAACTAAAGAGGGGAATTCTATAGAAGAAAATGTTGAGAATAGAATCAAATATACTCCTGGTGTGGTAATAACTGAAGGCTTAGAAGTTAATCTTTCAAAAGAAGTGATTATTGAACATGATACTCCTATTAAAGAGTAATTGGTTAAAGCTAGATTGGACATTAGTAATGTTACTCAAAATATTTCCCCTGTGAAAATTAGTTTGATGGAGGATTAGACTTCTCTGCCCCCGTCTCCCACACTTGGGGAGGTAGAAAATGCTAAGGAGATTCAGGAACCTCAAGTACATGAGGTGAATGATGGAGACATAATGGTTGCTTCAAAGGTACTTGAAGAGGAGTGGTTAGTTCAAAAAGCTAGTAGAAAGAAAATGAAAAAGAAGAATGAGATGCCACATCTTAATAAGGACAATATCATATCTGAGGAGAAGACTCTTTCTGATGGGGAACAGGTCACCACCCTTCCTAGGTCTTCTAGAAGGGGTGTGTTGAGGTTCAATGATTAACATTATGGTCTGGAATATTAGGGGAGTGGCGGACCCCGCCTCCCTTAATAGACTTAAGCATTTAAGCAGAGTCCACAATCTGGCTATTTTTGCTCTTTTAGAGGCGATGGTCTCTCTAAATAACGAACGAATCTTCAGAAAGTTTAAGTAGTATAATTATTTCTGCAACACTAACAATAAGATTTGAATTTTTTGGAAGCAAAATGTTGAGTTGAATATCGTGCAAAATGAAGAGCAACTTGTTTTGGTTTATTTTAAAATGGACTCTTTCGTTTCTTGGGCAACCTTTGTTTATGCAAGTTCGATCCTTCAGAAGAAATACTATCTAAGGGATACTCTGGCGGTTATTGGTGAAAATATTAAAGATAATTGGATCGCTAAAGAAGATTTCAATATGATAATGAAGTCTTCTAAAAGGATAGGAGGTAAAGATGGTGACATCAATCTTATTACTCATTTTAATGATAAAATTTCTGAAGCGGGACTTTTTTATCTTGGTTTTACGGGCACTCCTTTCACCTGGAGGAGAGGTTCTCTTTTCCAATGTTTGGATCGCTTCTTTGGTAATCAACATTTTCTCAATTATTTTCATGTTTATAAAGTGCATCATCTTAATCATGCGGGTTCGAATCACAACCCTATTATGCTTTATCTAGATTTTACTACTAAAACCGCAAAATATCATTTTAAATTTCTAAACATTTGGACTACTCATGACACTTTTCTGAGCACTGTGAAGTAGGCCTGGCACACTAATGGCGTTGGTAACCCATGGTATGTCCTTTGGCAACTACATAAACAGGTAGCTGCAGGTTTAAGGAAGTAGAATTTTATTTGTTTTGGTAATATTCATATTAGGGTCAAGAAAGCTCAAAATGTAGTGGATAACCTGGAAGAACAAGTTAAATGTAATCCACAACATGTCACTGATTTGGCCCAGGCACATACAAATTTACTTGAAGAGATTAAGTTGGAAGAGGAGTTTCTACAACAAAAAGCTAACGACATTTATTTTACTAGTGGTGATCGTAATACTAAATTTTCCATGCTTCTATCAAGCATAAAAGGAATTTGAATACTATTTTAAGTATAAATACTACTGATGGGAGGTGTCTTACTGATAAGGAAATTAATGTTGTGGAGTATTTTACAAATTTGTTGATAATAAAAGATCTCTTGTTCCATCGGAATAAGAGACTGGCAATAATGTTGTGGAGTATTTTACAAATTTGTATCAAAATGTCTCTCAAGTTCTTCTTATTGCTTCTAATCTTTTTGCAGATGATAGGGAATATATCTCTCAAATAGAATTAGCTCATATTCCGATGGAACAGGAGATCTTTTCTGTGCTTAAGGAAATTAACATTAATAAATCTCCGAGACCTAATGGTTTCACTGTTGCCTTCTATATTACTAGTTGGGACATTATCAAAAAAGAGGTGATTAAAGCTATTCAAAGTTTCTTTTAGGGGGAGGACCCTGGGAAATATTTCACATCTTCTTCTCTTACAGTGCTTATAGTGCTTATACCTAAGGGAAATGACAAATCTAGATGGGATAAATTCAGACTCATTTCCCTCACTTCTGTAATCTCTAAAGTTATTAAAAAACTACTTGTCTCCAGATTGCAACCTATGCTCGGTAAGATTATATCTCCGCAACAATTTGCATTTATAAGAGGTAAGGAGATAACTGACAACATTCTTCTAGCTCAGGAGATGCTTGAAGAGCTGGATAAAAAATATCGTGGAGGAAATATGGTACTTAGATTAGATATTAAAAAGGTTTATGATACTATCAATTGGGATTTCATTTTAAATATTTTGCGGGCTCGAGGATTTCATAATAATTTTTGCTCATTGATTCATAGATGGTTGGTGAATAATCACTATTCTGTTCTTGTGAATGGTGATTGTTACGGTTCCTTCTCTGCAACTAGAGTATTAAGCAAGGTGATCATTTATCCCCTATGATTTTTATTATTGCTTTTGATTATTTGTCCAAGTTAATTATTCAATTGCAGATAAATAAGCCTTATACTCAATTCTTGCAAAAATCTTCAATGTTGGTTAGCCATTTGTCATATGCGGATGATGCCATTATTTTAAATAATGCAAGTAAACCAGCTATAAAAGCTCTTATGAAAGTATTGGAAGAATTTCAAGATATTTTAGGTATGAGTTTCACTAAAGACAAATGCAATATGTATTTTGGGAATTCAGCTAAAAACTCCATTGTGAATTGGAGCACAAATTATACCGAGTTTCATACAGCTTCTATACACATTAAGTATTTGAGGGTAAATTTGATCAAGGGTCGTCGCAAGCAAATACAATTAGATGAGGTGGTAGATAAGATCAAACAAAAAATTAATGATTGGAGGAACAATTTTCTATCTAATGGGGGTCGCATCACTCTCCTCAGAAGTGTATTAATGAGTATTTCATTATATGCTCTTCAAATATTAAATATTAAGAAAAGTACTCAGATACAATTGGAGAGATTATTTAATAGATTTCTGTGGTCGGGTACCAATTCTAGGAAGCATTGGGTCACTTTCTCTAAAGTTACCAAGCCTTGTTCAGCGGGGAGTCTTGGCCTTAAAAGTTTGAAACAAATCTCTGATATTAGTATGTGCAAACTATGGTTTAAATTTTGCTCTAACACTTCTTTATGGGCTCGTTTTCTCCATCAGAAATATTGTGCTTCTTCTAATCCAGCTATCGTACAATGGAAAGTGGGGGATTCTAGAATTTGAAAAGCCATTTTGAAAGCTAGAGAGGTTGCGAATGAATTTATATTTTGGGATGTGGGTGAAGGTAATATTTCTTTTTGGCATGATAATTGGGGCTTATGAGATCGGAATTTATCTGTTATCGCTCCACAGAATAATAAGATTATTTCAGATGTGTGGTTGGATGGAAAATGGGATGTTAATAAATTAGATGGTATGTTAATAAATCAATGTCTCTTGTTGGGGATAAAACTGCATTTGTCACCAAGATCCCGATAAGGAAGGATGTTAAAGATACCCCAATATGGAAAAATGGAAAACTTCTTCTAATATTTAATATTTCTCCTTCAAAATTGCTTTACTCAAATCTTTATTTTTATGATAAGTGGCGGTGGGGGAATTTCATTTGGAACAATTTTCTTACCCCCTCCATCTCTTTTTTTCTATGGAGACTTTTTCTAAATATGATCCATTTTGATGATATTCTTAAACTTAAAGGGCTGAAATTTGCTTCAAGGTGTCATTTATGTAAAAATGAGGAGAATTGGCGGTGCATCTTTTTTTCTATTGTTCTTATGCTAAAGAGATTTGGTACAAATTGGAGAAATATTTTCATATTGATTGGTTAGATTGCGTAGACATAAGAAGCTACTTCCTGAAGTGGAGAAATGCTGAAATTATGGACCCAAAATTGGCCTGCTTACCTTTGTTGGTGAGGTGGTTTATTTGGGTGGCGAGAAATGATCAAAAGTATCAAAATTTGGGTTTGGCTCCTATCAATATGGTGTCTTACGTTTTGGCTTATACATTCCGGGCTTCCCGTATTTTGGGATTGAATGCAGAATCTAATAAACATAAGGTGGGTAAGACGACCATCCTCATTAGATGGCAACCCCCTCCTATGGGTTGGATCAAAGTGAATATTGATGAAGTTGGGCTTCCATGGCGACTGGAGCTGGTGGAGTTTTTCGAGATTATTTGGGCATTTCTTTGCTTCTCCGACTGTAGCCTCCTCCCCTTTCGAAGCTGAATGCTGGGCTTTTTTATTGGCATTAAAGGTGGCTATATCTTTTAATTTCTTAAAGCTTATTATTTAGACAGATTCTATTAACCTCTATAAGGAATTTGATAAGATTACAATACCCAAATGGGATGTAGTGGGTATTTGGAATAGAATAAGAGCAATTATAGATAAATACAATATTTCTATTATTTTGGCTCATGTTTTTCGTGAAGGTAAATCCCCGGAGGATTGGTTGGCTAGGAAAGGCAAAATTGAGAAAAGAATTTCGATAGGAAAGAATTTTGATAGCTGTCCAACCAGAGTCTCATCTAAAACGTTTATTGGTGTGAGATTCTATGGAATTGCCTTTTATTAGGCTTTGATGTCATGCTTTGACATCTCTTTTTAAGTTTGAAGGTTTTCTCTGTTGTTATGATAGCTGCAGTTTTCTTTAGCTTTGAATTTTTGGAAATTTTGGATAGTTTTTGGCTCGGTTTTCTTTACACATCATAAATTTTACATAAGGATTTTCTGCACGACTTGAAATAATAAAAATTTGCTTATGGTGGAAGATTTCTTTAATACCATATATCTTTTCTGTGTGAAGTTAGAAGGAGTTGATTTTATATATCTACATAAGGCGTGGGTTCAGGGGAGAAATGCTGCGAATTTTTACAAAGCAGGAGGTTAATTTTATTTTTGTTCGAATATCTGGAAGCTGGAATGAATTTTGGCTTAATATGCATATCAAGTATTATGGGTATATGAGCAGATTTTGAAAGGTACCTATATGATGCGAGGGTTGCTTTAGCTTTGGAATAGCACATATCTTGAGTTTTGGTTTTATGGACATATTTGAGTCAGTGATAGTCAATGTGAAATGAGGTGAATGAAGCTAAGTGGCAGGGAGTAAGGATTGGCATTATGGCTTCAAGTTTTGTCTAACTTTTTCTCCTAAATGTCCAGCAGGGAATGATGTAATAAAGAGGAGTTTATGCTGTGTTCTTTCGTTGCTATTTTTTATTCTTTGGAGGCTATGTGCTTTGATTGCAGGTTCGAATGTTTTGAGTTATTGTTCTGGTGTTATTTATGATGACTCGTAGCTTCGAGGGAGTTTCCAAGGGGATTTCGACTTTATACGTCTAATGCAGTTCAGCTTATATGACTGTTATTAATGTTACAAGTTTGGAGCATTTATTGTATCTTTTTGTTTCTTTGGAATTATTTTTATTGGCTTGGGTATACTTGTATACACTTGGTTATACCAGATATAGTGTTGGAGTTGGATTTATGTTTTTTTTTTATTTTGTGTTGAGTTGTATGTGGTTAAGGATTCCTTATATCGAGTGAGTACGTATTTCTTTTATTTTCTAGTTGGGAATCCTTTTCCAGACATTTATGTATCATCTTTTTTTTAACGCGTAGGGAGACGCATAATGCTCCTTCAATATATATATATATATATATATATATATATATGCGTGTGCGTGAAAATTGAAATTTAGATGTTAGATATGTAAATACAGGAATTAAGTGGTATGTATGTAAATATTCCTAACAAATAAATAAGAATGGGTGGTTGTTATTTATAGTTACTATGCAAGCAACCAAGAGCAGACCCCGGGGGGCTATTACCGCCCCCATCAACCCCCTCTCCTCAAATTTAGCTTTTTATGGTGGGAGGACAATTTGGTTTTTTTGACCCCCTCTTAAATATCACTTTGCCCTTTACTACCCAAGCCCATCCCATATTGGGTGTAGAGGGACAGTTTGCCCCTCAAAAAGAGGCTTCTTTCACACCTATAAGGAACCTATCATATTATTTATTTATAATTCTAAAACCCAGCAACAAACTAGTAAAACTATTAGGTACCATCTACCTAATTTGCAATTACACTTAAATTTGAACTCTAAAGCCTAATTGAAAGAGGTATTTCTAGAAGACACCATGAAGATACATGCATGCACGGAGACGAACATGTAACTATGTATATATATACAAAGTATATGTAATGAGCAATGAGATAAGCATACAAAATATGTAAAAATATTCACCATTTCTCACCCAATTTGATTTCAACATTATGAACATCGAAAGAATCATCAAACATTACTCATTTTTGTTAATATCATTATAACTAGTGATATAAATGATCTTAATTTTTAAACTTCATTTATATATTAGAATGCACTAATTTTTTACAATTGATTAATCCGATTAAATGAAAAACTAATTGTGATTTTAGTTTGGAATTAAAAACGGGTTGAAGATGATATTTAACGAATAAGAGAGAAAAAAAAATACTTACCTGATAAGAATAGAAAGTAAAAATTATACATATTTTTTTAAGGATATATTGGCCTTCGAGATTCGACGGCATAAACAAAGACTTGATGTCCATCTTCACCAATATAACTATATAAAGAGAGATTATTTTTCAAACTGTAAGTTTGGATTACACATATTTAGCATTTTCTATAATAAGCTGCTCATGACATTCGGACTTTTGTATCCGTAAGTCAGTAAAACATGCCAAAACTTTCACCCAAAAAAATTAAATACAAATTTTAATTAATTTAAAAAATATGATTTCTATAGTATAAGCTTAATTTTTTTTTTAAGATTACATGCATTAGCCAAACCATCATCAGATGACATAAATTTTGATTTCAAAATACTTGATGCAGTAATTCAAAAAGAACTTGAAAGATATATTCACATTATTGTCAATTCTGTAGCAAACTTTACATGTTGTACAAAAAAATAAAAATAATAAATAAAAGCTAAAAAATTACTACAATAATAAGTGCTTATAATATCAAGTTCATGAATATGTGCATTAGCACTCAAGTGACAAGCTAATAAAACAATATTCTTGCATAAAGTATGTAAGTATTTACTTCAACATAAATTTCTAATATAAAAAGCATAGGGAAATGGGAACATATAAAACTACCTTGCACATTTTTCTTTGCCACTTCATTGGCACAACGTTTTCGTTCTTCTACACTAGATCCACCAACAATAGCTCCAAAGATATTATTTCCACCTGTCTAAAATAAGGAAATAATGAAATAAAAAAAATGTGTAAAGCTTGAAGAACATCAACATAATGAAAGATTCATGTAAACTGGAGAGTGATGTGTTTATAAAAAAATCAAATACTATTTAAATGTAAGATTTATATTCAAGTCTATTAAGCCTAGTAGGAACTACTCCACAAATCAAAAAAGAAGTTATAGTTATGACTCAAGGCTGCATTCTATTAAATTTACACAATGGAAGTAACTTAAGATCATAAAGCTTCCCAAATAAAGACTATCTACCAATTTAATTATTGCATCAATGTATAAATTGAAACTTTGGCTTCATGCTATTGGAGTCTCTACTTGGAACCAAAAGTGTATTCCAAATTATATGAAAAACATGACCAAGCACATCAGGGCCAGTCAACGCCTAGAATCAAGAAAGATAAAACAAAACATACATAACACTCTAATCTCTGATATCACATCAAAAATACCACTACTACTTACTTTTTAAAAGTAAAGTACACCTTTCTCATGTATAAGTTCATGACATCAAAGTCTAGGTGTTAGATATTTAAATACAAACGAATTGTGTGGTATGTATGTAAATTTCCTAATTAAAAAATATTTCACGGTCTCAACAGAAATCAGATCTAGAACTCCACGGACCTTGTCCAAAGCAAGGCAATCATCTAGCCACCGCAGAGTCCTATCTACCGAAGCCTTATTCCTCTTCTCTGAAACCGACGCAGGAACCTCATCAGCCAAACTAGCCCAAATGTCTGGCTTCAAGGAGGAAATAATCTCCATATAATCAGAAGGCTTAACCTGATCAAAAGAAAGAACCCATCAACGCCGTAATCAAACTAAGTTACATATAGAGCGCTGCGACCACTATCACTACCAGCCGGCGCCCTCGCGGTGTTTCAAAAGATGCCCCGAGCTTGTTAGAGGCAACACTCTCCGGCAAACTTTCGATCGAATCCCTCGCCGAGGCCACAAAGACGCAATTTTGCAAGGCCGACAATTGATGCAAGCCCCCAATGCTCGAAATAATCGCTGGAGTAGGGCCGTCAAGTCTGTGGATGAGAATTTCTTATGAGCTTAGACTTACAAATTGGTGCAGAGAAAAAAAAAGGCATTTTGTCGAACGATTGGTTGGTGTTTACAAGTGAATGGGGCTTATGTGCAGCGGGTGGGGGCCTGGAAAAGGAAGAGAAGCGATAAGGTCCCGGGAGAGGAAAGCTGGAAGGCCCTTCTTGGTGGAGAGAAGCAGAGCGGGAGTCTCGAAGGGAATTGAAGAGTTGCCGGCAAAGAGCACGCCAACGCGTGCTCGGCCGCAGCAATGGTTTACAACGAATCGCATTCTTCGCTTCAGGCTGCTGCTCCAGATCCTCCGCAAATTGATCGAGCCAGCGTCTGCCAGCGAATCTAGACAGGGAGCAACAATTGCGGCTGAGGTCCCACTATTTGGAAAATTTTATTTTGCACCCTAATGATTTATAGTTTTATGTTAGGTTAGGGTTATATGTTTTGTTTGGGGTGTTATCATGTATTTTTACTCGTATCGGTCTTGCTAGGCCCTTTATTGGTGTTTTACTGGTGAGATTTTTGTGTTATTATGTTGTTAAGCTTGTGTTACTATCTTGTTACACTAGTATTAATCCAATATTATTCTGGTTGTGTTGCTGTTATTTTTTAGGGTCTCTGGTGCTATTGTTCGTGTTTTATTTTGATATAGTATTGTTATTGTGGTGTAATAGTTCGCTTATTTTGTTGTTAATGTTGGTGTTAACGTAGTGTTATTGGGTGGTGTTGTGCATTAGTTATTTCACAGTCTAAGTTGTTATTATGTCGTTATTGTAGTGTTATTGTAGTGTTATTGTAAGTGTTAATGTGTTGGTGTTAATGTAGAATTATCCTCATGCATGCATTGTCAGTGTTATGCTGGTGATATGCTGATGTTATGCTGGTATTATTATGGTGTCATGCTGGTGTTATTACGTCGTTATGCCGGTGTTATTTGGATTTGTGCTTGTGAAATCACATGATAACTATTGAATAATTGTATTATTGTATTGTTAATGATGGTGTTAATATTTGGATTTGTGCTTGTGTTGTTGTAAGTGTTAAGGTGGTTGTGTTATTGATGAGGTGATGTGCAGCGCTTGTACCTTTTCTGACTATGTGTTAATTTTGTTCAAATTTGCAATCTTGTGAGCCTACAAATGTTCTCAATGAACCAATTGAAAAGAATTTTTTGTGCAACACTGTCCACAATGAGCAAAAAGCATATGAAAGTTATTGTGCTTATGCACATCACGTAGGATTCACTATTCGGAAGGAACATACTAGCTACTGGTCAAACTCAAAGAAACTGAAGACCAAATATTTTGCTTGCGGAAAAGCTGGCTACAGGAAATAGCCTAACATTATGGACACAGTAAGGTTCAAAAAATTAGACACAAGGACTGGGTGTCAGGCCATTGTTCAATAGGTTGTCGATTCCGAAGGCAATTTGACGGTGAATAAATTCATTGAATGTCACAACCATCCTCTGGTTGAAAGTGGTGATAAACATCTTCATTCCAGTAGAAGGATAAGTGAGTTAAATGCAGATATGTTGAGATCAATGACAGGATCAGGGATCAAAGCAACATATGCATATAACTTCATTACTGCAGAGGTTGGGGGAGTGGAGAATTTGGAATGCACTAAGAGAAATGTGTTCAATTTCATTCAAAGAGAAAGAAGACAGAGCATTGAATAGGGGGATTTCAATGTTCTAATACAATTGTTCATGGAGAGGCAAATTGAGTATAGTATGTTTGCCTGAGATTTCCAGACATATAAGTATGGTAGATTAACAAGCATTTTTTGGACTGATGGGTTACCTAGGCTTGATTATGAATGTTTTGAGGATGTCATAATTTTTTTATGCAAGGTATAGATTAAATAAGTATAATTTATGATGCGCTTCTTTTGTGGGGGTTAACCATTACTGGCAGAACGTCCTGTTTAGAGTAGGATTTTTGTCTGAGGAGACGATTAAGTCATTCATGTGGATATTCAAATCATTTATTTGAATAATGGGTACCAAACATTCAATATCAATTTTCACCAACCACGATCAAGCGATGGCAAGAGTCATTGCAGAATGCCTCCCAGAGACATGTTACATATTATGTCAATGGCATATCTACAAGAAATTGTCTTCAAAAGTATATTGTGGAGTTTCTAACAAGAGCGTGAGTGGTCTTTTTTATAAATACATGAGTAAGTGTGATTTTGAGGAGGAGTTTGAAGAAACTTGGTCCTTAATGATTGAGGTGGGAGGCCTACAAAACAATGTCTGGTTAGATGAAATGTACCGTATAAGGCACAGATAGTCACAACATTTAATAAAGATATGATTGGAATGATAATTTTATCAACGCAGAGAAGTGAGTCGACAAATAATATTCATCATGGTGTTGTGAAGCCCACAAGCTCTCTCACAGATTATTTTCTCGGTCTTGAAAACATAATGAAATCATTGCGCTAGTACGAGAAGGATGAAGATTTCAAATGTGCTCAGTCCATCACAACGCTCATGGTTAAAATCAATCCAGTGTTGAGGCGAGCCGCCTTATGCTATACAAGGAAGCTTTACTCAATGTTTGAGAAAGAGCTACTGAATGGCTTATGTGGGCTTACCGTTGAATTATCCTTAAAGAGTGAGTCTAAATACACTAGGTTGTGTTTCGGACCCGGTCACTTGAGGATTTTCATTTATTTTCACTCATTTCGTCTATGGGGCCCGGTAATCCACGTGGCTTCTATGGATTAGACTTCGCATGCAACTATCCATGTAGAGTTCTGAGGTAATATTTTTCCACTATCAGAGGGCTAAATGATTTTTTTATTAGGTACAGCTTCTCGAAATCAAAAAAATATTACCTCCGGGTATGCATCTGGAGTCCAATCCACAGTGACCACTTAGAATGTTGGGACCCACCTACAAAATGAATGAAAAAAATGATTTTTACCTCGCATCCCGACCCAACCATTTTCCCTCAAGATTTCACAAAAGTATTTTGCCCAACTACTGTTCTATTAAAAGTTGACACGCCTAATAATTACTTACTTTTTCATATATATTTTATGCTCAATTTTAATGATTTTTAATGATATTACACTTTAAAAGAATGTATTTTACATATTTTTGGTTTTAGGTATAAGAAATAAAATTTTGGAGAAAATGAAGCAAAAAATGTGCAATTTGGAGTAAAAACGAGAAAGAAAGAAAATTCTGACTTATGAATGTTGAGCAATTTACCCTAGAAGAATTTGATGTATGACGAGCAAGAAAGAAAAACAGTTAACCTGAAATAAAAATAAGCAAGAAACAAAAATAGTTACCCTGAAATAAACCCTAAGGAGATGAATGATAAGCAATTTAAAATTATCAAACTAATATTTAAAAGAGAATTTGAGGATATGTTGCAAAAGAACTTTGAGTTGATAAATGAGGATAAGGAGATTGAAAGACCAATGAAAGAAATTCTTATTGAATTAGAAAAACAGTTTTCCTCAACTAAGATAAATATAGAGAGACCAGCTCTATTATTTACTCAGTACCAAAGGGAAGAATTGAAAGACAACCATGAACAAAAGAGTAACCTATAAAAATTTGATCCAGAATTTGAATTATATAGAGAGAATCTGATTCAGAATTTGGGATATCATGAAGTGTCTTTTAAAGATCTGTTTCTTATAAAATTTAAGGATGATATTAATATGAAAATGGATAAAACTACTCGAAGAATATTGGATCTAGAAAGAAATATGAGGAACAAAGATATGAATCAATCTGAAAAGGAAGAGCTGAAGAAAAATTTTAATTCAAGGACTTTGAAGGAATCCCTTGATCTGGAAAGGATTGGGTGATTGATCAAGGATTACTTAAATGAAATTTTGATCCAGGTGGAATCATTTGTCGGGTTGGTGTTGTTAAACAAAGTGCTTTATGGAAGACAATCCATAGTTATCAGTGTGGTTTGATTTAGTGTGCTTGAGAGTTATGATTGTTAGTGTTGTATTGTGTTTGCTTTAGTGTTGATTGATTAGTTTGATAGATGATTGGTAGATGTTTGGATTGTTAATGGTTTGATTTGCTTTTGGTGTGTCATGAGAGAGATGATTTCTTAACTTCTTATTATGGTTGTACTTGTATGTTCTCTTGTATTAGTTGGATTGATGAGTCTACTATGACTCGGATCTCACCCTGACTTCAGTTTTACAAGAGGTTTACAAGAGACATCATTTTAAACAGTGACTGTTCCATCTCAATTTTGTTACTTCTTTTCTCTGACTTCGTTTTCATTTGATAAGAGTAGGTAACATATTTGATGACTAACATGTGGATGAATTTACACTATCTTTATAACTGTTAGAGGTGATAATTAAAAGGATATGGTGAAACCTGAGGTTGGTGCTCACGACCCATTGTATCAAGCATAATCTTATCTTTGGAATTAGAATCAATAAAATCATTTATAAGTACCTTATATATATGTGTAGTGATTCCGTTAGAAATTGAAAGTTAGTGAGATGCAATGAGTTAAAGGAAGAATTGACCTCATTTAGCATTTGTGTTTGTGTTTGTGTTACAATAATATAAAGATTTGGAGAACCCCCCCCCTATATATATATATTCCTATGTCGATACCTGTTCTACTTCTTAGACCTTTCTTTCCATTTTATCGAGCATGTTTTAGTTTAGACTTACTTTATATTGCATATTATTCTATCTTGATGAATACTTATAAACTTTTGTGATAGATAGAATTTTTTAGCTGTTTTTCTTCCTATTTATATTTTTTGTATTAAATGTTATACATGTTTAAAAACAAGTTTGGGGTAGGAAGAAAAATAAATTTTAAAGTTAGTATACATCCTTTTTAGTTTAATATTATTACAAGCATGTTTTAGGCTAGATTTACTTTCTCCTGCAATCATTCTATCCTAATTATGCACGTATATAAATTTGATAGGATATTGTAGCAGTTAGTAAATTCAACTTTTACTTTTTCCTCCTACTACATTTTATGGAATTAAATGTAAAATATTTAAAAATGCAAGTTTAAGGGAAAAGAAAATTTTCTTTTAAAATAAAGTAAACTAAAAATATTTGGTATAAAAGGATAAGACTATATTTTCCTATTTAAAGTAAAGGAAATTATATTTTTGAAGTATTAAAGTTTCATGTAAGAAGAAAAGAATGAAATTTTATGAAAAATCATAAACTAATATGAATTTATAAAGTGAAGAAAGGTAATGAGTTTTGACTTTAAGAAGAGAATAGTGAAGTTCAAAATTATTAAAGACTATCCAGATATAGTAATTCTCACTTGAAAAAGAAAAAAAAGAAAAAAAGAAAGGATTGAAAAAATCCTAAAAGAGAAAAAAAGAGAAGAAA